ACTAGCGACCCGCCCCGGCTTCGCACGGGTGCAATATGCATGTATTATACATACAAACCTTCCTTAAGAATCACTCTATCTATTAAAAAAACCGCATCAAAATCCGTTGCGTAGTTTTAAAGATCTAAGCATACATACGGACATACAGCGAAAGCGACTTTGTTTTATACTATGTATTGATACACTGACTTTCGGTTGTCCCATTTTATAAAATATTAATTAAATTAGGTTCCAAAAGATGGCAGTGTCCTAATAATTACAAAATAATATTTTAACAATTTAATACAATACTACAATAGTAACACTATTGACTTCCTATTGCAAGGTAATATCAATCAGATTAGGTTTCGGAAGTCATAAGTGTTGCAACATCTAATAACATTAGGGTAAATAGCTAACACATTCAAGCTGGCTTCTTGTTTTTTAGAATATAACTGAACTAAATCGGCTTTATGGAAGTTCCAACTGACCTGTGTACGCGTTTCCGATGATGAAGTGCCCTGAACTGGCTCTGGTTCAAAGCGAGGATGCGATGCGACACCTCTAGCGGCGGGTGATATGTGTCCACTGGGCGCATGCTCACGCACTCCACCCCAATGTAGTCAGCACTAAATCTAAACATCGATTATTACAGTTAACTATTCTGTTGCTCTGAGAGAACCCACAATATGCCACAAGAAACTCATAATATGAATTAACATTCGTCATACCAGAATATAAATTAAAATTTCCGATCACCACCATTTCACTATAATTAATTATTACAATAATTTTCAATGATTCTAAATAATAGTTCATGTTCGTTATCACTACTATTGGGTGGGATATAAACTACACAAATGCAAAATAAAAATCTACTACGTAATTAAATAAACTGTGGCTCCCACTACTTCAAAAATATGGTCGTCAATGCTTACCTCGATGGGTACAAGTACTCGCCGCAACTCGATTCGCGGTGTGGCCACGAGACACGCGCCGCCATGATTTCTTCCGTCCGCGCGGTCGCATCGCATGATAGTGAAACCCAGAGGGATTAATTCCCCATCACATACTGACTCATTTAGGCCCGTTTCCGTAATAGCAAATAGATTCACGTCATGAGTTAGCAGCCCAACGTAAA